TGCACAGTGAAAAGATACAAAGCAACAACATGAATATTATATTGTAAACCTTTTATCAAAAAGATGTAACCCCTTTTGTAATCACCAGCATTTTGATTAGTAACTGTAATTTAATTGCTTGTTTTTCTCACTAGCTAACATTTATAACTAACATTTATTTAGTAATTTATTTTTTTTTTGTAATTTAATTACAAAACACTGCTCTTTTGTAAGTATGAACACATGTAATTTCACTGTTTAGTACCAAACTTTTTGTTGCAAAACCATAGTAAATATCCCCAGAAGTGTTAAAGTGCAATGTTGATTGCCACATTACTGAAGGAAGATGTGAGGAACTGCGGCCAATTCCGTTGATGCCTCATTTCCATAAAAACACAAGATTTAGCTGTAATTTCACTTGTTGCTAGATTAGTGCGGAGGAAACCAGCTTCAAAAATAGTGTCATTATCAGCCTGGTACTATTTTAAACTGTGATGGAAAAACACCTGGAGGGTAATTTACATGCAGAGTGGAGTCACTGGATGATTGGAGAAATAAAGATTTACCCTCTTTCGTATTTTTCTCTCATCTTTCAATTCAATTCCTCAATCTTTCCTCCATCCCCCCTTCTCTCTCCCTTTCTAAATCATGTCATGTCATGTTTTCCTATGCATTCTCTCTTTATTTCACTTTATTCTTTTGTGTTTGCAATAATTTTCTTCTGTTGTCCTAGGCTATACGAGGGGAAGGAGCAGGCCGAGTTCGAAGAGTCGCTGAAGAGGCTATTTGAGTCCATTAACAACCTGATGAGAACCGACTACACCACCACTCTGCTGAACAGGGTAATCACACATGCTCTCCCTACACCCACCCCACTTTATCAGCCAGTGCTCCTCTTTACAATCCATCCATCTGTATCCTCTCACCTGCTTCTTCTTCTGCTCTGTCCCGTCTTCCCTCTCTAAGGAGTTTTCTCACTTTAATTCTAACTACATCAGTATTTTGCTTAATGCCTTCTTATTTTCACAACATATATCAAGGCAGACATATGAACATATTGAGTTGCAAAAGGCTAGGCAGGCAGACAGACAAGTTGCCTTGTGAAAAATAAACAAGAAGTTTTATCTCACTCGTGATGAGAGACTTTTGGGTTTCAAAGTCACCCTCTGTTAATCAACAGAATTTCAAGACAGTAATGTGGTGGTGTTTACTTGTGTTGTGTGTGTCATCAGGTTGCTGCTCTGAAGTACCTGCCAACAGTCCTGCACGATGTCGAGAAAGTGTTTGATGCCAAGCTGCTCAGGTAAGCTTACCCTTAAACACACACAGACACACACACTAGCCTCTTATCTTTGGTCTCGTCCATGGACGCTGACAGAGAGGATATATGGGAGCTTTCATCTCAGCTTAGGTTTTCCTCTTGGCTTTCTTCACCGACCCCCATCCTTCTGTTCCTCACACATTTCACTGAGGCTGAGTTTAACCACCTTTATCAGGTGATAAAAATCTCATCAAACTGACATATACACAAGGACATGTACACAAACACAGTCTTCATCTCCTTCATGTGCCCCTGAATAAATTGATAATTCCAGCGAAACTGTCACACAAACCCCATTTTAGCCTCTTCATTATTCTCAGGCTCCCGAAGAACAAAACAGCCTGGGATTTCTTGTTTGACCTCTGCTTGACCCAGAACCAAACTTTGGCCAGGAAATAACCTCTGTGTACAGTATATACTTCACCAGTTGGTAGATTTTTTTTCAAAAAAGTTTCAGGAACTTTATTTGTCCACAAACATGGACACATAATTTTTGTGATGCATGTTTGGGACAGTGTCAGACATAATGTTTTCCTGACTCACATCCACACTTCAATCATCATCATTTCTCTTCTCACACATCTACACTATATGGACAAAAGTACTGGGAGGCCTGATCATTACACCAACAGGGACTTTAACGACATTGCATTCATCTACACAGACTTTAATATGAAGTTGTTCCCCCCTTTGCAGCTATAACAGCTTCCAGTCTTCTTGGAAGGCTTTCCACAGGATTTTGTAGTGTTTCTCTGGGAATTTGTGCCCATTCATTCTGTAGAGCGTTTATGAGGTCAGGCACTGATGTTAGATGAGAAGGCCTGTCTTGCAATTTCCATTACAGTTCATCCCATAGGTGTTTAACGGGGTTGAGGTCAGAGCTCTGTGGGGGCCAGTCAAGTTCTTCCACACTGAATTCATCCAACCATGTTTTTATGGACTTTGCTTTCCACAAAGTTGGAGGCATAGTGTTGTCCAAAATGCCTTGGTATGCTGAAGCATTAAGATTGCCCTTCACTGGAAGTAAGGGGCCTAGTCCAAACCCTGAAATACAGCCCATGGCACAGTGCAGTCAGGCAGGAAACGTTCTCCTGGCATCTGCCAAACCCAGACTCACCCATGTGATTGCCAAACAAAGTACTTTATTCATCGCTCCACAGAACACATTTCCACCACTCCACAGTCCAGTGGCGGTGTGCTTTACATCATTCCATCCGACACTTGGCATTGGACTTGGTGACGTGAGGCTTGCATGCAGCTGCTCAGCCATGGAAACCCATTCTATGAAGTTCCCACCACACAGTTTTTGTGCTTACATTAATGCCAGTGGAAGTTCGGAACACTTCAGCTATGGAATCAGCAGAGTTGGCGACTTTTACGCACCATGCACCTTAGCAGTTGTCGACCCCGCTTTGTGGCTGACTTGCTGTTGTTGCTAAATATTTCAACTTTCCAGTAATAACACTTACAATTGACCATGGAATATCCAGATGGGATGAAATTTCATATTGCAGAGGGGACATCCTATCACAGTACCACGCTTGAAGTCACTGAGCTCTTCAGAACGACCATTTAGGTCATGGCTAGGTGCTGGGTTTTATACATCTGTGGCAATGGGTCTGATTGAAACACCTGAATTCAATAATTAGGAGGTGTGTCCAAATATTTTTGTCTATATATTATATGACCTGGTTGTGTGTTCGTGTATGTGTTCAGTCCCTCGTGTAGCTCACTGCCAACACAGTTTAACAAAGCTGCTACTTATAACAGCTGCCACACAAACACACATAAGCTCACACACGCATAAGCAAGTAGGCAGTTGATGAGATGCGGACAGTTAAAAATCAGTGCATATTTTCTCATTTTCTGTCATTTATTTATCATTCATTCATTATTCACATCCATTCACTCAACCTTATTGTCTGTCTTCTATACTTTGGACACACACATGCACAAACATACCAGAGACATCTGAACACCGAAAGTACAGTCCCCATTGCATTCATGATCAGAGTTGCCTCAAGCAGAGTTTCCAAAAGCGAGCTGTGTGAATCACAATCACTGTGCATGGAGTGGACATCAAAGCTTTGTCTCATCTCATCTACAGCCACATTCTGCACTTTGTAAACGCACCTGGAGTGTGATCCGCAGGGTGGTACAAGCACTGACACTGTCATCTGTGCTTGTGTTTTGTTTGCTCTCTGTGTCCTTTGCACGTCTGTAGGGTATAGGCTGACATTTGGGGTTTTAATTAGATTCAGCTCAGATGATTAGTGGGCCTGATAAGTCTGCACTGAGCCTCTGTTACTCAGCCTGTCCTCATGCCTGCTTAAGCACATCAGATGTTCTGCAAACCTTTTTGCTTTGTTTGGGTTTGGGAGAAGAGGTGGTGCATTTCATTCTTTTATACTGTACCATTATCGAAAGTGGTAACGCTGCATGTGTGGTATACTTTAAGAGGACAAAGACAAAGTGAGACAGACAAAAACAGAAAAACAGAGGGTAATGCCCTGAAGAAGTCATTCTTTCTAAGTGGCACCAGGGCTTGCAACCAGCCTGTTTAATTATTCCAAAATTGAATTTGGGGCAGGAGATGACTCAAACCTGTCTTTCTTAAGACGTATTTAGGCTTTGGCTCATTGGTTTTCATGCAGCGTACACTGCTTCTGTCTGTGGTGCACTCTGATGTGCAATGGCTGTTTTTAGTGGTTGCATATTTTATAACCTTAAGGGAGAGCTGTTTAAATCTCGACATACTGTACAATACACATATTTGAAGTATTCTGAAGAAAATGATTCTTGGATATTTGTGATCATTTGAAGAAGCCACACTTGTTGCTCTTCCTCTGTAATGATCTTGCTGATTATTTATTCCACCCACCTTTTGCTTTTGCTCCTCAGTCAGTTGCTGCATGACTTTTATGCCTGCATCCCACCTGAGAAACTCCAGAAGCAGAAGGTGGCCTCCATGACTGAGATTGTCAGCAGTCAGCTATTCCAGAGACAAGGTGTGTACATTTTTCCAGTTACAGACCTCAGCACTGAACTGCCAATCAATAATGGACTTAACACTTGTGTGAAGAACCAGTCAGAGTGCAGGGTATCAAACACAGAATTACTGTAGCTTCTCAAGTAAATGTTGAGATCACATTAAAAGGTTAGCAATGGGACATGACTGACAGCTGCACCCACAGTGCTTTATGACCAGTAAGTCAGGCAGTTTACTTTGACAAGCTCGAGTGAGATTAACATCAGTAGAGACAAATCAACATAGACAGATACATGAACATACGTCCTTTCACACCCTTCCTATTGCCTGTCTTTCCTACCTCCCTACTCCTCCCTCCACTGTACTCTACAGGTGATACTTGTATTGACTGGAGAAATCCTTGGCATGCACATGGTGACTTTAGCCTGTTCTCATTACTGTTCATGGTGATAGTTCCTTATACAGAGGCAAAAACGCAGACATTCTGGCTACATGAAACATTACGTACAGTAGGACGAAGGTCATGTTTAAAATATGCATACAAGTCTTTCAGATGTCGCATCTATTCTTGACGTACATCACACTATAATATAATACTAGATATAATAATATAACGTAATACTGTAAGATACTTTATGTACGTAAAAAGCACATTCCATATGGGGCATGCTGGATGAAAGCATCATACTGATGTCAATGATTTCTTTATTTATTCAGTTTTCTTGATTTACTACAACATACACACTCATTCAGTTCAAGTCAGTTCTACTTCTATGGAAGTGACCATGACTTGACATCTTACATACGTTCTGTGACATTTTTAAAAATCATTTTTACCCATTTCACCTTCTTGCCAAACCATCTTTTCCTCAAGGCTTATTTTTAATCAGATAATGAATTGTGGATATTTGATGATGTAACACATAATTACAATGCTACTGTGTTCACCTCCACTGACATTATAATCGCTGCAATAGACCCCAGTCAGATGCCATCTTATTACAATCAGCACAAGTGGCACCTTCTAATGTACTCCTCCACTGATTGTAAAGGTCTCTTCTACTGTCGCCACTCCAGCTGAGATTAAACAGTCTTGAGGCTAAAATAACATTGACCTAAACTGATATTTGTTATTCTTTGGCAGTATGTGATAGGTTTCTTTTGTCCTCATGGTGTTCCCTGTTGACCCAGACAGAGGATGTCCATGAACCTTATTGCAAGCTGAAAATGAGTGCACCGTTCATGCCTCAGTAGGTTTTGGTGGTTAACACAGAGAAAGACAAGTGTTATCTGTGTTCATGTCCCAGGCGATGCCTGCTGTCTGTCAAAGGAGAAGTAATATCACCTAATGTTTGAGGCAGATAAAACAGGAAGTGTTTTCAGAATAAAATGCTGCAGTGTCACTGTCAAGTGTCACATTTCACAACATGTCCAATTTAATTTTAAATGATTTTCATAAGATATGGCATAAATGTCAGGGACAGATAATTCTGGCTCTATCATTCTTTTTAAGTGCTCTTCACATCAGTGAGTCAGCCACCTACCTCTCTTTAACCCTATTATGTCCGTCTAATTTGCTTGTAGTGGGCTGATGAGTGGTGGTTTCCCCTGAAGAAGGCCACACAGTAATGGATAGAGTGGGCTAATGTTATGCTGCTGATACAGACTCAATAAAGGGGCCCATAATTGGGCTTCTGCAGTGCAAACTGAAGAATTTGAAGTAAACTGTGAGTGATTCTGGTAGACCAAATTATGTTTCAGATAGAAATTGGTCTGATATGATATACGTTGACATGGCTCCATGTGTGCATAAGTGCATACTCATACATAACCTAAAAAACACATTTCCATGTATTTGCTTCAGAGTGACTGATGATGCTATATCTGAGTGTGAGTGCATTTGTGTAGTGGCACATGCTCAATGTCCATGTGCACTGGCTTGAATGTTGCTTTTTCCCACTATAGCTGTGAGTCTAGCAGTCAGTCGCTGCCAGCCAAGCTGGTAGCCGGTCTAGGATACAGTTTTTTGGTATTGATTGTAGCTCAAATGATTGATTCCCCAGGGTTGGAGATGACAGGCCAGGCCCTCTGACTAGCTGTCAACGCGATCAGAGTCACACTCTGTCACCAGGAAAGTAAAAGGAGAAAGAAGAAAGTGAT